GGCCTTAACAAACAGGAGTTTATTCTTACAATTTGGAGGCTTTAAGTCCAAGTTCAAAGTGCCAGGCTCCAGGGGCTGGGTGAAAGCCCCTCAACCTTGGGGTCCAGTTCTGCCTCCGGTTCTCGGCCCACTGGAGCTAGAGGCGTTTCTTCACTCAGACAGCTGCTGGCTGCTGAGGCTGAGAAGCCCCAAAGTTGACAAGTAAAAAGGTCACAGTCCCAATGTTAGCAAACCACATGGCAGGCCATTAACTTAAGTCCATTGAAAGTCCCAAGGTCGGCAGAGCATAGCAGGCTGCTGAGCAATGACACGGTTACACGCAGGGTCCAAGCGTGTCATAGGCTAGAGACCATTCTCAAAGCTTCTCCTTACATACAGGAAGCAGACCACATCCCAAAGGCAGCTGCTTGTGGTAGATCCCACCATGGAGCTGATAGCCAGTCTCATCATGGGGAATAACTACCACCAGCTTCCCAGCCACTCAACCACAACCAGCCAAGTGGACACACAAACATAACTACCACAAACAAGCGTAGACATTGTTAGGAGCCAAACATAGTTCCTCTCCAACACCACTGTCTGCTTGACTGTGCCCTAGCACCAGCCCCAAGTCCTGCCATTGTGGCCCTTTCTGTGTGAACATCAGCACTTTAAGCTAACAAAGCACATTTACATGGCAGGCATTTGGGCTGAGAGCCTCATTCCATGAGGTAGGTAGGGCAAGGACTGTCGTTCTCATCAGAGAGTAGCATACAGCCTTGAGCCAGGCCTCAGCTCTTCCATGAGCCTGGGCCTTTTTCCTTTGCACTTGGGGCTGGGCCACGTGTCCCCAGCCCAGGCTGCTCAGGATTTTCTGCCTCCCCCTCCCCTGCAGGGGGACCCTCTGGAGGAGGGCTCAGCCTCCCCGACATCTCCAGACTGCAGCCTGGACAGCCCTGGGCCAGAGAAGATGGCACTGGTTTTTTCTGAGCAGGAGGAGAGGGATTCCCCAGCACTGAGCCGTCAGGCATCCACAGGTGAGTAGGGGGTCAGGGACTCCTGCTGGTCTAGAGAAAAGGACTAGGTTAGACCAGTTCAAGAGAAAACTGATCCTTTACTCTTTGCCCACTGGAAACTTTCCCTGTCCTCTTCATGTTCAATCAACAACTCCATCCATGGAGCTGGTACTATTATTATCCCCACAGTATTGATGGAGAAACTGAGGCTCAGGGACTTAAGTGGCTTGTCCATGATGACCCAGCTAGTGAGTGGCAGAACTGATACTTGAACTCAGGTCTGCCCTAGAGAAGCTTCTATTTGTCTGTTCTTTGCAGTGTTGGCCTAGTTGGTCTCTGGAGGCCCTCTCAATTTATCCCTTTGTTTCCAAGGGAAGCTAGAGGCTACAGCTCCCTGACCCCCTGACATCTCAGGCTGAGGGTGGGAATGCGGTCTCCAGCTGTGAAGGCTCAATCTCTTGGACCTTAGACCTTGGTTTGCTGGGCTTAAGGTGCCATTGGTATGTACTAGAAGTCACTGGGGCTGGAAACAAAGTCCTGGCAGCCCTGCCTAGAGGAGAGCTTTGGGCCCTGGGCTATATCCCTGTAGGGGCACTGCCTTTCTCACCCGTCAGGGCCTGGCCAGTGGTCCATATTCCAGTTCCCTGTTTTCTCTGACTCCACAGACTCCTCTTTGCTCTACTGAAACCCACTTAAAATGCCCCTTATCCCGCCCTGAGTTCCATGTGACATTGTACCTAAACACTAGCCTTTTCAAGTAGAGAAAGTAAGTATTATTCAGGGTGTGGCTTCCACTATGTGCCAGTCATATTGGAATGGGAGTCAGGAGGCCTGGAGTCTGATGGACACAGTGCTACCAATTATAAGGTGAGAGGCCTTGGGCAGGTCACTTTGTCTATCCGGCCTCAGTTTTCCTCATCTGTTCATTGGAGTGTTGATCCTGTTGGTCTCTGGAAGTCCTCCCAATTTGCCCATTCTTTGCTCTGTGAACTGTTTGTCCTATTGTCAGTCATTTCCACGTCTGCAGCCCTAGAGGTGAAACTGTGCTCCTGCAGGGCGGCCAAGGAGATGGGTCAGAACCGCCTCTGTAATGTAAAATTTGCCAAAGCTCAGCTTGCTTCCCCAGCACATGTCCCTGGAATGCCTAGCCTCCAACCCATTGCCATCAATTCCAACTCATAATAACCCTATAGGGCAGAGTAGAACTGCCCCATGGGGTTCCCAAGGCTGTAAATCTCTACAGAAGCACACTGCCACATCTTTCTCCAGTGGAGCAGCAGATAGGTTTGAACCACCAACCTTTCAGTTAGCAGCCAAGTGCTTTAACCACCATGCTCACTGCCAAGTCAGTTCCAACTCATAGTGACCCCCATTGGGTTTCCAAGGCTATAAATCTTGACAGAAGCAGATTGCCTCATCTTTTCTCTGTGAAGCAGCTGGTGGGTTTGAACCACCAACCTTTTGATTAACAGCCAAATGCCTTTACCTCTATACCACCAGAGCTCCTTACCATGCCACTGGGGCTCCTGATTTCTAGCCAGACCCCCTGGAAGGCACCTGCTAGGCACCAAATGAAAGGTGATCCTACTCCCTGCCTCATCTCTTGCAGGCAGTGAGTTCTGCAGTGCCAGCTTGGGCTCTAGCAGCTTCGGGGAGGACCCACCTGCTCCCCAGTACACAGGGCCCTTCTGTGGCCGGGCACGTGTCCACACCGACTTCACCCCTAGCCCCTACGACCATGACTCATTGAAACTCCAGGTAAGATTGGCCTCTGGGCCTCTCCTGAGCCTGGTGGGCTGGATCCAGAAAGGAGACCGGATGGAACGGGGTAGGACAGTGTCAGCAGAGACCAGGGGAGCACCTCTCTCAGATCCTGCTCTCTTCTCCCCACACAGAAAGGAGATGTGATTCAGATCATTGAAAAGCCACCTGTGGGCACATGGCTGGGCCTGCTCAATGGCAGGCTGGGTTCTTTCAAGTTCATCTACGTGGATGTGCTGCCCGAGGAGGCCGTGGGGCCTGCACGCCCGAGCCGCCGGCAGAGCAAGGGCAAGAGGCCCAAGCCTAAGACCCTGCATGAGCTGCTGGAGCGCATCGGCCTGGAGGTGTGAGCTCAAGATGGCCTCCCAAGGACCCTGGAAGCTAGTACCAAGGGAGAGCCACTTACCCTAGGGATGGGGGCCCAGGGATGTCAGCTTGTAGGGCCCCTGGCAGGGGTAGGGTGTAAGTGGCCATGCCGGTAGCCTGTCCTCTGCCCACAGGAGCACACATCCACCCTGCTGCTCAATGGCTACCAGACACTGGAAGACTTCAAAGAGCTACGGGAAACACACCTCAATGAGCTGAACATCGTGGACCCACAGCACCGGGCCAAGCTGCTCACGGCGGCCGAGTTGCTGCTGGACTATGACAGTGAGTGGGCCCCAGAGTAGGCATCAGGCATGGTGTCACTGCTATACCCTGCCCCCAGACCATGCTTGGTCATAGGGCTCTCCACTGTGGGAAGGCACTTGTTTCACTTGAATTCGAGCCTCAGGGAGGGCTTGTGGGTCAGGGAGCTTGAGAGATTGCCAGGTCCAGCCCCCCATTTCTCAAGAGGGGCCAGAGAAGGTAAGACATGCACACAAGGCAGCAAAGCTAAGTAATAACCGAGCCAGGATTCAAGCCCTGGTTTCCTGACTCCTAGCTCAGTGCTGATGACATTTGGGCTCCTGTGACATGGAGGTGGCCTAGAGACCACCCCAGCATGCTTCCAAGTGGGTGTGAGGAGAAGAGCAGGGTTTGGGGTGGGTGCCCAGGAGAGAGACTGCTCATAGTAGGTTTCCCAACATCCCTGATTCTAACCTCTCCAGTTGAGCACCAAGCCCCCCTATATTCTCTCTCCTTGCCCCTGGCAGCGGGCAGCGAGGAAGCGGAAGAGGGAGCTGAGAGCAGCCAGGAGCCAGTGATGCACACGGTGTCGGAACCCAAGGTGGACATCCCTCGAGACTCAGGCTGCTTCGAGGGTTCAGAGAGCGGTCGCGATGAAACGGAGCTGGCGGTCACTGAGGAGCAGCTGCACAGCCTCTCCTTGGCTGAGGAATCTTGAAGGCCAGGTGACAGTAGAGGCCGAGCTTCAAGGGCCATGGGTATGGACCCAGCCTCCTGAGGTGGCCTGGGCCCAGAAGACTGACCCCAAGCCTGGCCCTGCTTCTCAAGGGGCGCTAGGGATGCAGAGGCCCGGCCTAGGCCCTACAGGCTCGGTTGAGTGGATGAGGGGCTATCTGAGGGCACATCACCCAGAGCCCTCTCTCCACCAGCTACTGACTGATAACACAGCCCTTCCTGGTACCGCCCACTCCCCAGCCACAGCCATGGCCACAGCAAGTGGGGCACCGAAGGATCACCTCCATGTCCAAGGCCCCCAAACCTTCCTTGCCCCTGTCACACTGCTCTTGAAAAGGGGGCCAATTCAGTGTTTCACGTTAGTCTCAAAACCCAAGGGAATCTGGCCATTGAAAAGGACCCAGATTTATCACGGATAAATCCAAATATCCCTAAATAAGGTTTGAAGAAAGCCACGGGTGCCTTTTCACTCTCCTTTTCCTTGATTTTCTTAGAGGCTTGACCATTAAATCACTATGTGAGCTGAGCCAAGTGCCTCTGGGCTTTGGGCTGGTCAGAGGTGGAATGGAGAGTCTGTGAGGGCTTTGCCAGCTCTGACATTCTGTGACATTGAATGTCTGCTCTACTGTTACCTGTGGTCCAGGAAACCAGTGGGGTGTATCAAGGGGCTGGAGGAGCCTCTAGCTCCCAAATGAAGTGGCTCCCCAGCTCCCCCATTCCAGACCTCACCACTAACTGAGGCCTGCAACTCCCTCAGCTTGAAACCACGCTCATACCTCAGACAGTGCCCTTCCATTCCTGGTCCCCTCAAGCGAGACCCCCCCAGGCTGATGGCAGATGCCCAGACCTGTCTTCCAAGGACAGAGCTGCCCCTCAGCACCAGATACAGGTCCGGGCCTAGACTTGGCCAGTTGTGTGGGTCCTTACAAGCAAAGAAAGCACTAAGCTTGACATTGAGGAGTCCACTACCCCAATTGTATTTTGCTAAAGGTTTTGGTATACCTGAGCTCCAGAAGGGGAGAGATATTATCTGTTGGTAGGGGCTCCCCTTCACCCCAATACCAAGTATTTCCCCTAAGTCCCCAGAGTATCCCTTCTCTGGTGTCCTGTCAGTCTGTGGACAAGCAGCCCACTACATGTAGGACTGCCTGTTTGGTGGACACACTCCTTGACTTACTATCAGGGACTTTGGTAAAAGCTAGCTTTGGAAAAGGGGTTGAATGTAAATATGAGGGGTGGGTAGAGACAGGTTAGTAGCAATAAAGTACATCCAAACCCACTGCCGTTTGACTCATCGCAACCCTATAGGACAGAGGAGAACTGCCCCATCTGATTTCCAAGGCTGGAATCTTTACGGAAGCAGACTGCCTCATCTTTCTCTTGCAGAGCAGCTGGTGGGTTCGAACTGCTGACCTTTTGGTTCACAGCTGAGTGCTTAACCACTGCACCACCACACTCTTTTAATAAAGTACATAGGTAGAACTGAATTACTGTCTCCAGTTATCTTTCTGATGAAGAGAGGGTTGGGAGGGATAGACCAGTCTCCTTCAAAGATGGCCTTGAGCAAAATGCTCCTCCACTGTCCTTTCAGGATCTTCTTTCCCTTCCCTAAAGATGCTCAGAGTTCCTGCCCCTGCTGACTGAAAGCTCCAGTTTGAAGCCCTAGCTGGCTCTGTGGATCCCTCTAACCAGCTCTTCTCAGCACAGGACTCTGGGTCCCGCGGCCCCAAGGCCTGGCTGAGATCTGAGAGTGGGGGCTGCTATTTCTCTCTTCCCATAATTGTTCATTTTAACAAGAGCCTTGAAGACCTTAACCCCACTGAGGATGGGTCTACGATGGGGGCTGCCCAGAATCCAAGAAGAAAGATTTGGGTTCAGCAGTGCCTTTCCTCTGAGGCTACCTCCTCCTGGACCCCACCATATGCCCACTGAAGCCACGCCATTTCCTGGGAGGTGGGATGGAGACAAAGACCCCTAGTTTCCCTAATTTGTGAGCATTATCTCCATTTGTTGTTGTTAACTGCCATTTAATTGGCCCCGACTTATGGCAGCTCCATGCACAATGGAAGGAAACGCTGCCTGGTTCTTTACCATTCCCATAGCCGGTTGCAGATTGGACCACTGTGATCCACAGAGTTTGCATTGGCTGGTTTTTGGAAGTAGCTCACCAGTCCATCTTAGTCTGTTCAGTGTCATAGCCACACGCAAACCTCCACTGTCAGCTGGCTGGTGGTGGCACATGACGTACATTGGCCAGGAATCACACCTAGGTCTCTGTGGTAGTTATGTTTGTGTGTCAGCTTGGCTAGGCCTGGTTTAGTGGCTGGGCAGCTGGATGTAGTATTCCCCATGATGAGACTGGTAATCAACTCCATGGTGGAATCTACTAGGAGCAGCTGAGTAGCTACCTTTGGGTATGTGATCTGCTTCCTGTATATAAGGAGAAGTTTGGAGAATGGTCTCTAGCCTATGGCACGCTTGGACCCTGTATGTAGCCATGTTGTTGCTCAGCAGCCTGCTATGCTCTGCCAACCTTGGGACTTACAGTGGACTTAACTTAATGGCCTGCTGTGTGGATTGGTAACATCGGGACTGTGCCTTTTGACTTGTCAACCTTGGGGCTTCTCAGCCTCAGCAGCCAGCAGCTGTCTGAGTGAAGAAATGCCTCTAGCTCCAGTGGGCCGGGAGCAGGAGGCAGAGCTGGACCCCAAGGTTGAGGGACTTTCACCCAGCCCCTAGAGCCTGGCACTTTGCACTTGGACTTAAAGCCTCCAAATTGTAAGAAAAAACTCCTGTTTGTTAAGACTATCCCATTTGTGGTATATTCCTGTCAGAGTGGTACCAGGTAACCGGAACAGTCTCCTTTATGGAAGGCAGGAGTTTGAGCACTGACCTTAAAAAAACAGTAGCTGTACAATGGACTCTGGCTCATGGTAACCCCAAGTGCATCAGAGTAGGGTTTTCAAAGGCTAGGTTTTTGGAAGCAGATCATCAGGCCTTTCATCCTTCCATGGTGTCTCTGGGTGGATGCCAATCTCCAAACTTTTGGTTAGCAGCCAAGCATGTTAAGAGTTTGTACCATCCCCAAACTCCTACCATCCAAAAGAGAGCTGCCACAAGAGTGAGGTAACGCAACTCTGCTCCCAGACCTTTTTCCTCAGCTATCCTCATCCCACTATCCTTAGAGACTGTGGGCATCCAGGAAGTGGAAAATCAAAGTGTTCTCCTCACCAAATAAACAAGGAAGTCCAAACTGCCTCAAGTCCCAAGCAACATGGAGTAACTGCCATCATTTAGTGAGCCCTGACATAATGATCTATTATCTCATATAATCCACACTGTACTTCTGTGAGGTAAGCACTATCACCATCTCAATTTACAGAGAGGAGGAAACTGAAGCTGAGAGATGGACCAAATTGACTAGGAAGTCACAGAGCCAGGAGTCTGCCTGACTTTGGAGTCAAGGTCATTAAGCTCTACACTGAATGGCTTTTCCAAAGGTCTCATCCTACAAGCTTTGAAAGGCAGAGTCTGACCCTCTGTCATGTTCAGACCCTGTGACCCAGCCATTCTCCTTCTAGGAGGTACCCCACAGGGGTACAGAGACACAAGGGCAAAGAAATTCATGACAGCTTTGTCCATTCTAGAAAACAATTAGAATCTACATGGGGAATTAAATGCATTAGGGTTCATTCATACAGTAATATGCAGCTATTAAAAATGATGTAGAAAAAAGATTTAATGACATGGGAAAAATCTTCATGATTTTTTATTCTTTAATTTTAAATTTTAAGATTATACAAACACTGTATAAATATTCTTATTATAAAAGAATCCCATGGTATCAAGGGGAAAAGCAAATATTAAAACATGATTTGCGGAGTGATTCTGTTATTGTTTAAGAAACAAAACATACATGCAGAAAACAGACTGGGAGGATCTGCTCCGAATGGTTAAGAGTGGTGATCTGATGAGGGTGTGAGTGGGGTTAGGGGAAGGGGAGAAAAGTTCACTTTCTTTTTATTTGAACTTTTAAAGTATCATTATTTTTATATCTATAAAAAAGAACAATATTTCAATTTAAAGAATAAAATAAAATAAAACTAACAAAGCAAATAGGACCCAAGCTGCTGACCTATCATTTGGGGCAGCAGCAAAGCCATTACCCTGCTGGATATTTTTTGGCAGGGGCTTCTGGAAAGATGGTGGAGAGGGGGATGATGCCCAAAGTCCTTAAATCCATACACGCCAGAGGAGATTCCTATACCTAACTAAGGAGCCCTGGTGGTACAGTGGTAAGCCCTCAGCTGCTAACCAGAAGGTCGGTGGTTCAAGCCCACCAGCCACTCAGCTGGAAAAAGATGTAGCAATATGCTTCTGTACAAATATACAGCCTTGGAAACACTGTAGGGCAGTTCTACCCTGCCCTATAGGGTCACAATGAGTAGGAATCCACCCAGCGACAGTGGGTTTGGTAAATGCCTATCTATTATCTCTAAGCTGAGGAAAAGAAAGTATCAGAGAAAGAGGAATAACTGAGAAAAAGATGTTCTGGATACCTCATCCACCTTGGGGGATAAGGGTATCTCAATGCTTGGACATGGGGGATAAATACAAACTTAAACTAGTTAGTTGTGCAAGGGCTCCAAAGATTACAGGGCTTTGGGAGGGGCAGTGAGAAGGGGCAACAAGGATTGTAAACCACAGGCCAGGCCCTAAGAGATGAAAAAGGCAGTGCCCTTACATGACTGCAGCCCAGGGCTTGAAGGTCCTCCTCCAGGCAGGGCTGCTGGAACCACAATCCCAGCTCAGATGACTTCTAATACATGCCAAGTGGCTCCCTGATCCCAGTAAACTGAGGTCTGAAGTCCAAGAGGCTGAATCTTCACAGCTGGAGACCATCCCCACCAACAGGCTGGGATGTCAGAGAGTCAGGGAGCTGTAGCCCCTAACACCCCTTGGAAGGAAATGGATGGGGATGGGCC